CCTCCCACTGCCTGGCTGCGGCGTGGCCCTCAGGGTCCTCTGCCCGGCACGTCTCTGAGTCCTGCTCCGTGAAGGGTGCAGGGCAGGAGGACACTGGTCTCATGAGGGACGCCGGAGGTGACAGGAAGAGGCTGACACACCACAGAGGCTGTCTGGAATGCAACATGCAGAAGAAAACGTGATGTTTTTTCAAATTCTGAGACAGACACACATTTCCCTCTCATTTTGTGTACTGAACGCTCACACCTCTCTGTCGTGGGCTAAAATAAACACACACTGGTTCCTCAGCCCCCACAGCATGGAGGCTGCAGGTCAAGCGTGGAAGAGACCCTCGTGTGTGCAGCCCCTCCTGCCCTCCCACGTCGCTGCTCCGCGGAGAGACAGGTGTCGGCAGCGAGGGACCTCAGTGCAGTGGCAGAGCGTGCGCCTCGCTGGTGGCCGTGAACTGTAATTCATGCCTAAGCGTCTCTGGCTAAGTTTGGAGGGTCGGATATACTTGGTCTTTCATAACCACACACCCGGTTTAAAGGTGATTTATAAATGCTGAGTTCTCTTTCTTGACACTGAAGCTCTGATGGCAGGTGAGTATTCGCGCTTCTTAGAGTCTGATTCTGGGGTCTTGGCACAATGGAAGTCGGGGTCGGGAGGTTGGTCATTGCGTTAGGATGCTGACAGGTGTTAGGTTTGGGGTCTTAAAAACATCTGAGACGAGCTACGTGATGGGACTCTGCCTGAAGCAGCCGGCTTGGTAAGGGTAAGGATGGAAGAGGGTCAGCCTGGCGAGTTTGGGACAGATCCCACTGGTTATGTGTTTAATTCTCCATCTGTGTCGCTGGATTCCGTTTGCGAGTGTTTTGTGCAGGACCTTTGCAATATTCCAAACAGATATCGGTCTGCAGTTTTCTATTCTCGTGATGTCTTGTGGTTTTGGTATCAGAATAGCATTTGCTTTATAGAATCAGTGGGAAGGCCCTTTTCTGTTTTTGGCCGAGTTTGTGGATAATTAAATGTTTTGGTGGGATTTAGCGGTGAAGACTCTGGGCCGTGGCTTTTCTTTGTGGTTGGTTTTTTGGTTAATCAAACTCTTTGCTTGTAATATTGTCCATTCAGAGTTATTGTCCATTCAGAGTCAGCTTCGGTAGTTTGTGTCTTCCTAGGACTTTTTCCATTTCATATAAGTTATCTCATTTATTGGCATACCATTGTTCACAGAATTCCTTTATAATCCTTTTATTTCTGTGATATTGATAGTACTAGCTCCTCTTTCATTTCTTAGTTTTGTGAGTCTTACTTCTTTTGTTCTTGGCAAATCCAGCTAAAGCTTGTCAGTTTTGCTGATGATTTTAAAGAACCAGATTTTGTTTGCATTGATTTTCTGTGTTGTTTTTCTCTTCTCGGTTTCATTAAGTCCAGCTCTAATCTTTCTTATTTCCTCCCTTTTGTTTGCTTTGTGTTTAGCATGCTCTTCATTTCCCAGTGTCTTAAGATGGAAGATGGGGTGGTTAATTGGTAGAGGTCCTTTTCCCTTCATTAATCAGGCATTTCAGCTGCAAATGTCCAAGACTGCTCTGTCTGTATTCCATACGTCTTGGAATGTCATAACTTCATTTTCATTCACCTCAAGTTATGTGCTCATTTCTCCTTGGATCTGTTGGTTATTTGGGACTGTATTGTTTAATTTCCACATATTTATGAGTTTCTCAATTTCTTTCTGTTGTTGGTTTCAAATGTGAGTCCGCTGTGGTTGGAGAACATACTTTGCATTATTTCTATCCTTTTAAGTGCTTTGAGTTTCTGTGGCCGGGCTCAGGGTCTGTCCTGGAGAGCGTTGCGCGAGCATCCTGGTTACCGCCCGGGCAATGCCGCCTGCCGCCAGCTGCTCCACAGGTCTGCTCGGGCTTCCGTTTCTTGTCATCCTCTGCCCAGTGTTTCTAGCCGTCATTACAAGTGGGTATGGAAGCCTCCGACTTTTGGGCCCAGCAATACATCATATACATATTATTTTATGTAATTGCCTTTTACATGATTTACGATAAGAGAGGAGAAATGTGTATGCTGTGTTTGTAGTTATATTATTACCTTCACTGATGGTCTTTGCTTTTTTCGTGTGGATTCCAATGACAGTCAGGGGTCACCTGCTTTCAACCTAAAGAACTTCCATCGGTCTTTCCTATGAGGAGGTTTTAGCAGCAACACATTCTCTACATTTTGCTTCCCTGGGCATGTGTTCATTTTCCCTTAATTTCTCACGGATAGCTTTGGTGGCTGTAGCAGTATTGGGGCTGTACTTTTACTTGGCTGACAGATTTGTCCTTTGAGCACTTTGATATGTTGTCCTAGCATCTTCTGGCCTCCAGTCTCCACTGAGAAGCAGCGGTTCATTTTTGTTGCCTTCTAGGTGATGAGTTGCTTCTTGCTGCTTTAAGATTTTTCTCTCATCTTTGATTTTCAGCATTATTAACATAAGTCTATTTGTGGGTGTCTTTGTGTTAATAATCCTATTTGGAGTTGTTTGAGCTTCTTAGACACAGTGGTTAGTGTTTTTCAATAAATTGGGGAATTTTTCAGTCATTATTACTAGAATATGTTTTCTGCTACTTTCCCCTGCTACTCCCTTTATGAAGATATGTTGGGGTTGCGTTTAATGGTGTAACATTTTCAGAGGCTCTGACGATTTTTTTCATTCATTTTTCTGTCTGTTCTTTAGATTACATGAACTCTATCAATTTAGTTTCAAGTTCCCTAATTATTCTTCCCTTTAAAATCTATCAAGCATGTCTAGTAAAATTTTCATTTCAGTTATTTTACTTTTTAACTCCAGTATATTCAATTTGGTCCATTTTTTGTAGTTTCTATTTTCTTATTGATATCCTCTATTTGATATGTCTTTGTCGTCATATGTTTATTTCTTCAAACATGGTTTTCCTTTAGTCTCTTGAACATGTTCGCAATGGCTGTTTTGATACCTGCTCTTTAATGTGGCATCCAGTCACGCACAGACGGTTCCTGCTTTTTCCAGAGTGTAAGTTGTAGGTCACACGCTCCTGCTGTTAGCAGCTCTGGGCCCTGGGCCCAACCCTCACCTCTTCTGGGGCTTGTGGTGGTTACTTGTTTGTTTGTTTACTGGTTGGTTGGATTATTTTTGTGACGTCTGTCCACCACTGTCCCCGCAGTAGCGTTACGCCTCTAAGGTGGGGCTCAGCGGTGCAGTTTGGGTGAGCACAGCACCTGGGGTGACAGTGCTGTTTGACAGGGTCTCTGTCGCCTCGCCGACCACACCCAGCTATTAAACTTCACTGATTTCTTGCTGGTTTGTCTGTTTGCAACGAAGCTTTGAGCCAGCTCTGGGTTCTCAGGAGGACCAGACCCGGGTCAGGGTTTGAGATTTGTTCTGAGCCCAAGACAGCTCCTTCTACAACTCTCACCCCAGGTTTTCTCCTGCTGACCAGCGGCTGCCAGCTTAGCCTGATTCATCCGGCCTGTGATGGCCTTTCAACTGCCTTTCTCCACAGTAAGCACCGGCTTTCACGGAGCCCTGGCCGGGCTTCGCCGGCCCTGTGGCGAGGGAGGGCAGCTCCTCTGCAAACCTTTCATCAGGAGCTCTAGGCCTCATGGCCCCCGGGTAACATCTCTGAGCCAGGGTGGTGGGGACAAGGACACACTTGTCTGTAAGTGAGCCTTCTGTTCCGAGTGACGCCAGTTACTAGTCAGGGATGCTTATGAAAAAGAAAGGGTTGTTTCACCCAGGGTCCCCGGTCTGGGCTTGGCCCGTGAACGCACAGGCTGTCTGACAGCGAACCTGGCCCCTCCCCTTCTCTCCTGGTCGTTCTCTGCTTAGTGAAACTGGGATTAAACTCATACCTGAAAGATGATTAAAACATAATGTAGTGTGGGCCTTGTTTTCTGTTTTTGTTTTTAAATGTTTTATTGTTTTTTAACCTTTCAATTATTTGCTTAGGGATATGACAACATAGTCTGCCTGGGTTAGTATGCACTGCATTCCTAAGAAAATATGAACAGAGCTGTAAAGGACCTTCCTTTTCTGTAACAACTGTGGCAGTGAGCGTGGTGGCCGCCGCAGAATGCCACAGACTGGGGCTTAAACAACAGACATGTATTCCCTCTCAGGCTGGAGGTCCGAGGTCGGGGTTCCAGCAAGCTCGGTGTCTGTGAGGACCCCTTTCCTGGCTGGCCAGTGCTGCCGCCTTCTCCCTGTGTCCTCACCTGGCAGAGCTCGGGGCCTGTTCTTATGAGGACACGCGTCCTGTCAGATCAGGGACCACGGTATGACCTGCTCTACCTCACTTCTTTGCTCAGAGGCCCCATCTCCAAATGCATCCACACTGGGGATTAGGGCGGCAACGTCTGTATTTGGGAAAGTGTATAACTCAGTCGGTAACGAGAGTTTTGTATAAATTATATGTGGAAAACAGGCTCTGCAGGGTAGGGTGGAACTACTGACCTGGAGACAGTCATCTTGCTGTTAGGAACCATCTGTCACGGTAGGCGTGGTGGCACGTGGCTTTTCCTGGAGAAAAGGAGGAGAACCAACAACGTCTTCAAAAGCTGTGTTGTGAATCAGAAATATGTGTGTGGCTATAAAACGTGGCCAGTGTTGCGTGATGACACCTCATCATCGTGACAAGAGGCTTCAACAGCACGAGTGGCCTTCGCGAGAAGTGCCGCTGAGGACGCCGTGGCCAGAAAGCCAGAGTTCCCACGGGAGCGGGAGTTGCTCCCCGTGTGAATCGCCTTTCATGTTTTTATTGAATTAGGAATAGCTGTTAGTGGGGGATCTCAAAGTGCTGAATGAACCCCAGTAAACCTCCTCAACCCATGGGGACATCCGGATGAGCACAGTTGTCTGCCTGCCATGTTTCCTGCTGGACGCAGGTCCACCCGAGCGGAGCTGGAGGGCGGGCGTGCTGCTGTGCCCTCCGAGCTCGTGTAAGGACCGGCCGAGCGCCGCCTGTCCCAGCACCGTCTTCTCCTCCCTGCAGGTCCGACGCGTTCGAGGTGCTGGCCCTGGATGGCGTCAGCACGGGTCTGCTGCAGTTCCCCAGCGCCCAGGAGCACACTGACTGGCTGCGAGCTGTGTCCGCGAACATCCGTGACCTGATGCTGCAAACTGTGAGCACCACGCCCCACGTTCCTTACGCTTCCTTCTCACTCACGGAGATAATTAGGGGTTTGGTCACTCATGATTAACCTGAAAACAACCATTTAGAGCATTAAACAGAAAAACAGGTACTTCCCCCCAACATTTCAGATCTGTCACTAAGAAAGTGAAGCCATGTGAGTGTTTCCTAAATAAGAGTGAGGCTGAGTCAGACATCGGGGCACTTGACCACTTGTTCTGTCCCTCTCTCCCCCTCTCTCTCTCTTGCTTTCCACGTTCATACACAGAAATATTTGTGTGACTAGAATTACATATATACAGAGGGTGCCAAAAAATGTATACACATTTAAGAAAGGAAAAAGCTATATTAAAATTGTGATACTCAATATATACCGATAACCAAAGATAAACACAAGTCCCGTCTGACTTCTGCAATTACAAGAGGTGCCCAAAGTGGTTCCCATCAGCGTCCAGACACTTCTGATGATGGCGAACTACTGCTTGAGCAACGCTGACCAAAGTGCCCACTTGTACACATTTTTTTGTCACCCCCAGTATATTTTATTCAAATGCATGGGTGTAACGTGGCATTTTTATTTGGGGAAACCTAGTTGTGTTAAAGGTGTAATTCCTCGAAACATGATGAAAACTTTTAAGTGCCATTTCCAACCCAAAACATGATTTCTCCAATTTTCACTGTAGGTATCAAAAAAGAAAAAGTGCTTTGTCTCCTGGAGTGATCTGTTTGATTTTTAAAGTCAAAGTAAAATACCAAATAAAGAGTAAAGCGAGATCGGATGGGCGTAAGGGATCAGTAGAGTACTAAGTGCTTTGAAGCCACCCCTGTAGGATGGCCACTGCTGGGAGGCTCCTGGAAGGTGGCCTTTGCCCAGCCCTCTTGTTCTCAGTCCCTCCCAGCTGACGGGCCCCATTGACCGTGGGGACATCCCAACCGAGGCTTCTGTCCCAGGACGGGATGGTGACAGGGGCGCCCAGGACAGCATTTGGGCTCATGCTCTCACAGCGAGGCCCAGGCCACCTGCATGCCGCCTGCACGTCCCCCTCCACACCCCCACCCCCTTCCTCTGCACACACTGCCTCGCTCCTGGACGCTGCCAAGCGAGGCCCACAGAGCACGTTCAAAGGTTGGGGGAAGGTGTTCAGTTTCTCTTCTCCAGATCTCAGGGCGTCCTCCAGTTATGTAAGGAGGCCCAGAGCCTCTCTAGGCCTTAGTTTTCAAACTTGACATTTTGAGTTCCAAAGGTACCTGAGTGTACAAGGAAGAGAAAGAAAAAACACAGGGGGTGGTCGGTCGATATTTGCTGAGCGGCATGTGACGAGAGCCCTTCAGGTTTAGGTGATTTCCACACATTCTAGCTATTCGGCCGCACGAAGCGAAGGAGACGCCAGCACTTCAGAGCCAGAAACGTGGGCTCAGGGCCGTTCCCAGTGTGGGCCGTGGGCGTGTTGTTGTTCTGGACCTTCCTGTCCTCACTGGTAAAAGGCTGGAAAATAAGGCCACCTTGCAGGGGTGCTGGGAGCGCTGAATGAAGGATCAGATGAGGAATGTGAAAGCTGTGACCACGTAAGACTACGCACAGCAGGAGTCATCTCCCCATTTTTTCAGATGCTGAAATTTAAGCATCAGCTGTCCCGTAGTAGCTTCACTTACATAAAACGCTGATATGTGCAAAACAGTAATTTAAGTACGCTAATATTAGTTTCTTGGGGGTTTTTTTTCTGTTATGGGAATTGCTGCTAGACCTTTGTATTTACTCTCCTAAGAAATGAATCATAAGAGAAACTCATTCCCAAGGACACGCCCTGCAGCTAATTAACTTGCGTTGCCAGTGAGACAGGCTGCAAATCCGTGGCGTTGATGTGCTTGTCATAGTGACTCGTTTCCTCCCTCTCTCTGCAGGTGGAAATGACAAATAAGTGCTGTTCTCCATGTGACCAGGTAGGGATGGTGTTTTTTGTGCTGGTCGTATAACAAGCCTCTGAAAGTAGTCTTTTCCTGTTGGTGACATTTGATTTGGGAAATTTGATAGGAAAACATTAGCGCACACCAGACGGAGGCCAGGGTCCCTGCCGTCAGGGCTCACATCACCAAATGACTCATGCGCCGTGGAAATCGTGTAGGAGGAATCGTCCGATCCCCTGTGTGGGCCGTGTGATCAGGTCTGTCGGCAGCTGTGTTTCACGAGGAAGCGTGATGAAATAATCGTGTGCACAGATACGGTTGTTTAAGCTGACGGGCTGTGTGATGGAGACACCTGTGTAATTTGGAATCTCAGGCACCGTGTGATTTGCTTACATAGCGTCCTCACTTGGAGGGCTTCTGTCTTGCGTGACCTTTGACCCCGCAGTGTCACTGGGGGAGGCGGGCACGCTCCCCAGACAGGCAGTTTCTCACCTTGAGGCCCAGTCACTGGTGTGGCTCCCACGTCAGGACACTTAGCTCACCACCCTCGGAGCACAGGCCTGACCTCCGAGTCAAGAGCTGCTCCTGTGCTGGGCCTGTGGGGACATAGGAAGGACCTCTCGCGGCCACGCTGAGGGGCAGGCAGGCGGACCCTGGGCCACTGTGCTGTCTGCATCCTTTCTGCTAACGCCACAGTGTAGGCTGTACCAAAAGTGCACAGTTTTTGTTTATAGCTCATAAGTTTTCTGATTGTATCTTTCATGCGTTTGAGGAAGTGTGCACTGGAGTCTCAAGTGAAGAAAGATGAGAAGAATGCATTCAGCGTGCTTTAAATACTGCTTGTCAACACTTTAAATGGCGCTTTGTGATAAAATGTGGATTAAAGATGGCAGACATTCAGGAGAATAAACCCCTGCCAATCAAAAGTTTACTGAAAAAAGATCAGAAATTTGGGCCGCCTTTTGAATTAAGCCGCCCTGGTTGACACTTTTAAATTAGAAAAGAAATTCTAAGAAAAGTTACTCTAAAAATAACTTTTCTTTCTTGTAATATTTTTCTAAATTTATAATCAACTGTTTTTGTTTCACATAGCTAAATGAGGTGTCTAGCTATTTAGTGAGTAGTATTTCCATACGTGTCTTCAAATTAATACAGGATTCATTTCATATTATTATACAAGAAATATTATATTTCAGCTATGCTTTGTGTTTCTGACGCAGAAGTTGTCACTTTTCCACTGAGGACGTACCTGTCCATACTTCACACGTAAAGTGTGTCTTCTCTGCATTCATTTACCAAGGCTGCTGGGAGAATAGACCAAATTGTTCCTGTTGCCTCCAAGAATAACTTACCATTTGAAATTGGGTTTCTAGTAAAACTAGAAATTGGGTTTCTATTGGCAAAATCAAAATTAGCAAAGTGCCCGTGAGGTCCTTTTTATAGTGACTGAGAGACGCTCTGAGTCCACGGGAGGCAGTGTGCTCGTCGCATTGTTCACGGCGGGGCAGTCGTTGTCTCCTGTGACTGTCCTGACACATCAGCCAAGGTCAGCAGCTCACACACAGTTAAGTGCAGAGCGAACGTGAGCAGCCCTTATGCTGAGAACATGCCGCGTGACATGCAGTTTCTGTGGGACTTGAACTTGATGTGTTTGGAAGAACACTGAGGGTTCTCGTAGGTACACTTGAGCTGCTTGGCACCGTGGGAAGAGCACTCGTCTGGAAATCAAAACATGTTTTGTTTTGCTTTGAATTTAAGTCCTCTTTCTCATTGTCTCGCAAGAGAGAATCATGAATTAAGGTTCAGAGAAACTTAAAACTGTCTGAGGAGCAAACTCCCGCTAGAGACAGAGAACATGCAATGAATTGTGGTTCAAACACCTTGGAGGCAATGGAATAATCTTTCTTTTGTTTTATTTTAGTGAAATTTTATCACATATTGAACCTCATTTGTGTGATATCACTCTTGGCAGCCTTATTTGACAAAAACCTGGATTCTAATCCCAGCTAATCCCTTTTCTGGTGGCGTAATTTAAATAAATTAACATCTGAGTCGCAGTTTTTCATCTATAAAATAAGAAAGTCATAATGAGTAATCTAAAGTCTTTTTTCAACCTTAAAAAGTTCTATATAACTTTGAATTTCCTTGGGTGCTTGAATTAGTTTATTTGGAAGTAAATATTAGTGCCTCTGTAGAATTATTAAAGAATTACCCCTACCATATCTTTCTGTGCTTTTGGTAGAGGATTATTTCGCATTTTCTCCCCAAACTAAACATTTTGTATGTATTATAGGAGTTTATATTTATGATGTTAGACCCTTTAAAAACAGGAGTTTAAAAATTCTGGACAATTATTGATTTTGGTATGTAGCAAATAATATTTGAATAAGTATTTAAAAACATAGAGATAATTGACAATCACGGAAATTGGCCAACAAAAACAAAACAGGATTAAAAGGATAATACAAAACGCGTAGAATATACATTTTTAGAATCTTACATCTAGTACATAAAATGAACATATAATTTGTTATCCAAACTGGGCACTTCTTTCTGGGACAAAAACCAACCTAAAAGTGACACTAAGACAGCAGGCACAGATTTGAATTGTCCCAACAAAGCAGAGCATATGTCCATCATAAAGTAGCAGGCAGCTCTGTGTATTTCCAAAACAAATTTCTTCTCAAAATCCTGGGTTAAATGGAGCTGTGGATGCCTTAACTACCAAATACAAAAAAAAAAAAAAACCCACCCTGAAGAGCTGGTAATTCTAGCTTCTTCTGTGTAAAGGAAAAGACCAGCTGTTCAGTTACCATCTGATGGATGCTGAGCTAATTATCTTGGCTCATTCAAGTGAGGAAAAAAGTAAAAGGAGTTTCCTATAGAAATGCCATCAGAAAAGATAAATGAAAATATGCTTCTTTATTATAATGGTTATGTCCTCTTAATTTAATTATGGTGATAATCAGGTAGGTCTTCATAAAATTATAATATACATTTCTTGGGACATGTAAGAAACCATTAGAAAATTCATAATGTAAAAGATAAAATTACCTTCCCTTCAAATTATTTATGAACTGCATATACCTAAAAAAACTTCATAAATCAGCCACTGTTTCCAATAATAGCTAAGCTGTTAACTTATTTCTTTGCTAATTAATGTGGGTGGAATTCAGCTACATAGGAAATTTCATTACGTTCACATCCAAGTTACAGACATTTCAGATTATTAACAGCCTGTAAGCAGCCCTCTTGGCCAGGAAAGGAGCCCCGCCCCCTTCACTCCTCCATATAACACTCCTGCTGAGTGATGTGCTCAGCGCCCTTCAGCAGGTACAGGAGGGCACCAACTGCCCAGCCTGGCCGGGCAGGACACAGGTTAGAGGACAGGGCCGGGGAGAAGCCGGCACTCAGCCCACTGCCCCCAGAGAGCTGGCGCAGGGGCCGTGCTGCGTCGCAGCCGGGTGGCAGATTTGTGTCTGGACGACAGCCGCCCTGAGGGTGCCTGCTGCCCCGTCAGCCCGGGACGTGCACGTCCAGCTCTGTCCATGGTGATAAACCCACCTGTCTGTCACATCTCAATCTGCCTGGCGTCTGTCTGTCTGGCATCTGGCATCGCATTTGTGTCTGTGTGACTTACTGCCCTGTCTTAAGTTCCTCCAGGTCAAGTTCCCCTCCGTCATTCCTGCAAAATCTAAATTGCAGCACGTGGTTAAGTATTTCATGAAGAGAAAGGGGAAGACGGGAGGCTTGGCAGCATTCAAATACGTGATTAAAAAATTACAGGAAAAGGAAAGACAGCAGGTCTGTCCTCCCTACGGGCAAAAGCGTTCCTTTCAAGCTCTTCTTCCCTTTTATGAATCTAAACTAGAAACAAATCCAAAGGCTTCGACGATTAGGAGTTCTCACCAGAGGAAATGCTTGTTTGACGGATTTTCGGGAAGCCCACCCCACACTGCGATAGACGCGAAGAGGGGCGTTTTGTGTCCATTCCTGCTGGTTTTCTGCTGGGCTGTGGTTACTTGCTGTCCCACACCAGCTCTTATTGAGACAGTAGTATGAAAAGGAGCTTGGTAAGATTCCTGGTAATTAGTATCAGAGTAGATTTTTGAGCTTGTTGCTGATTTAAAATTTTGCAGTCCTTTAGAATTTGAACAATTTCCTGTGTTTTCTAGAAGTTCTGTTTGGACACTTTGATGATACCAGTAAAAGAGAGGTCTTCCGTTCAGCCATCCTGGTGAACACCAAACACACACCTTCCCTTGCCGCTATTATAGAACCGCTCCAAAGAGATGGCGATGAGTAGATAGTGACACACACTTTCTTGCGCGGGACGGTCACCAGGACGGGCAGTTCTGCAGATGTAGGTAGATATGGGAGAAGGCGCGCGCTTTGCTGGTGGCCTGTGAGTGGACCAACAGGAGGCTCTCCCACATCCTTCCTGACGGTGGTGCGAGGGTCCGATGTGTATGTGGCAGGTCATGTGCTGCACAATGTGTCACACGCACTGCCTCATTTGCTCCTCAAAACAGACTGTGTCACTCCCCAAGGGGTTAAACAAGCTTGGACTTGATGTGCAGAGTTCCCAGCCGGAAGCCGGATGCTGCCACTGTCACTGAGTGTCACTGAGTGTCACTGAGTGTCACAGACCCCGTGCTGAGAAGGCACCCTGTCAGAAGACGAGGTGATGAGGGGGCAGTCGTGCCACAACCACAAGGCAGCTCATTCACTCAGATAACTGTATGAAGAAGAAAAACTGCCCACGCTGCTGACCATGCGGCTTCAGACCTTCGGTCATGCTTCGTTTTGTAAAACCTTACCTAATACCCAATGCCTCGTAATTATTTTTACCAATATGATCATGTAAAGACTTAAAATAGCTGTCCCGACTCTCCTCAGGCGATATGCCCGGCCTCCACGGCCTGGAGGCTTGTTTCTGAAAGACTCCTGGCAGGATCCAGGCCTTACTGTGTAGGACCCACTAAGCAGTGCGTTGTCTCTAGTGACTGCGCTTACAGTTCATCGTATCCTAAGGAAACTAGACGAGTCATGACACTCACGCAGCGGTGAGTCTGGAATCAAGTAATCACCCACTGAATTCCTGTAAATTTTAGAAACATCCAGGTTCTGCTAAAATAGCTAGAAAAAATGAAATGTTTCTTATCCAACATATACAAACAACTCATAAAACTCAATGGTAAGGAAACAACCCATTAAAATGAAACATTTTTAACAATGGAAACTGAGCACATATTATGATTAAAAGAAGTAATAATGTTAGTGTTATAACCCCCGCAAAACACATTTATCTATGTGACCCAACCAGACAAAAAGGGAAAGACGAAGTCTACAATTACGTTTGCGAACTCGTCCTACAAAACGTGCTTCACACCTCATTGATGAATATCACTACGGTCACCTTCCAAGCACTCCCCTTGGGAAGCTGTGCACCGACTCCAGCACTTAGCCCACCTTTCAAAGCAATTTTGGAACCCTCTTTCTGGAATGGCCATTGGAGCTGTCATCGTATTACCCTTGATACCCTGAATGTCATCGAAACGCCTTCCTTTCAATATTTCCTATATCTTTGGGTAAAGAAAAAAGTCACTGGGGGCCAGATCAGGTGGGTAGGGAGGGTGTTCCAATACAGTTATTAATTTACTGGTAAAAACTCCCTCACAGACAGTGCCGTGTGAGCTGGTGCATTGTCCTGATGCAAGAGCCATGAATTGTTGGTGAAAAGTTCACATTGTCTAACTTTTTCACGCAGCCTTTTCAGCACTTTCAAATAGTAAACTTGGTGAACTGTTCGTCCAGTTGTTACAAATTCATAAGGAATAATCCCCTCTGATGTCAAAAAAGGTGAGCAACATCGTTACAACAAATTCGCAAACTTAATTGTCAGACCTCCTATAGCAATTCGATGTTTTTAAATAATCTGTCTACTTAGTTTCAAATCCACAAGACACTAGGAATGAATGATACTTGAGTGTTTTTCCCACATCGCTAAGGTCACGTGAACAGCGTACTGCCTGCCACCCACCAGCACTCTGCAGGGAGCTTCTGTGTTTCAGCATCCAATTCCAGCGCACACCAGCTGAGGTCATTCTAGTCCCATTCTCTGGTGGTCAGCAGAGTTCTGTGTGTGCAAGGACACAAGTGAACTAAAACTGTCATCTGCTAGTAGCAAAACTATACAGCATTCACACCTTATCACACTGATGTGAGGGCTTAGAAGTTCACAGCCGTGAAAATGTTACTGCGTTAGGTTGTTTGGACTCAACACCAGACCTGTACTAATGCTGACTGTTCAGCCATGGCGAGCGTTGTCCCGAGCATGACATGCCTCAGTTTCTCTCCCTCGGTGGGAACACTGTGGAATTTCATTGACAATAGCATCCTGACATAGGAGGTCTTTCACCAGGCACAGGAGGGAAACCTGTCAGTGATTTATCAAGCAAAGAACAGAATTGGGAATGGCCTACCTGGAGCCCAGGAGTTGTCACTGCACTCGCCCGGACAGCTGCCATCACGGGCACTCTCATGGGTGCTGGGGTCTCAGACCTATGGGATGCCCGCCTGAAACAGCTCCAGGACAGTGCCTGACCGGAAGTGGTTGGCATGACCGTGGTAGCGTCCTAACAATTTTGTGCAAGTTGCTTTAAATATTTACTACCTAAGAACATGTTAGGGTTTTTTTTTTCTTGTTAACATGGTAAATTGAGGAAATGAAAAAAATAAAATTAAATGACTCTTACCACTTACTGCAAAATGTGTGCCACATTAAAGTTTTAGGCAAGACGTACAGGGCTTTAGCTCAATATGAGCAGGAACTCATGCACTGAATTCGCAAGTTGTTTGTTTCCATTGACTTTGAATCGTATTCTGATTTGTCATTGTTTGCATTTTGTGTCACAGATCAAAAATAGTCAGTGGCAGCTGTAGGAAACTAATATGGTCATACTGGGTTTGCTGCTGTCAGGAAGTTAACTGAAGAAACAATCATTTGTCCCACTTTTGTCAACCTTGCGCTTACTATAGAAATAAAAAATGCAGTTAGTTGGTTTTGCACTCATAGAGGAGTCTGTATCACTAACGCTAATGGACTGTAGCTAAACACTGCATCGTATGAGATATTATACCTGGAAGGTACAACTCACGTGCTGCTGAGCCGTCCGGCACTGGCCACACCTGACGTGGCCAGCAGCTCCCGTGAGCAGCCTGGCCCGATACCAAACTCTGGGCATTTCGGCGGGACGTCACAGACTCGTGTCCATCCGCGTCTGGAGCCGGACCTGGACCCTCAGCCCTCCCGCCTCAGGCTGCGGCTTTGGTGCGCCGAGGTCGTGGGAGGACCGCGTTTGGTGGCTGTCTGCCCTGTGACGGTGCGCCCTTGTCAAGCCTTTTAACTTTCAAGCTTTCCCTCTGCAGGTCGTGCACATGGGTTGGGTCAGTGAGAGGCTCGAAGATGCCGACCGCTCTCAAACCTTCAGACCCACGTTCCTGGCCCTGAAAGGCCCCTCCCTGTATGCGTTCAGCACCCCTCCGGTAAGGACGCCTGACATTCCTGGGGAGGGTGCTGGGAGGCTGTTCCCGCAGGAGAAGCAGCCAGCTGACCTGGGTTTGGAAGAGAGCATGGTTGTCCCCTGTCCCCACACCGGTGGAAGGGAGGGCTCTGCTCAGGATTCACTGGCTTTTCTGCCTCTGAATCCATAAACGAATCCATTTCTGTCTTTCATTAAGATACGATAGCTTTGTCTGCTTAAAAACCTGCTCTTTTGGAGTTGGGAACGCAGGAGGCCCTATGTCTTGGAGCGTCAGTTAGGTGATGGGAGAATCCCAAAAAACGAAACAGACAGAACCCTTCCTTTAAGACGTTTCTCATTTACAGCCTAGTGCTGAAGCGTAAAAGCTACTCTTTCCCTCATACCTTCCAAGTTTTATTCAAATAAACAGCCCATGTTCAGTTCAGCCTGGTCCATCCTGTAAATTTAACGCTGAGTGCTACTGTTTGCATTTTATTTCCCAGTTCGCATCACACAGCTCTCCTCCAACTGACTAAATGGCTCTTAATTGTATTTAGCAATATGATCATTTAGTAACGAAAAGTAACTAGTGGGTGCCCTCCAGGTTCACTTTCTGGAGTCTGAACATCAGAACTACAACCAAACAACGAAATCTGTACCTTCAGGGTCTAAGAATTTAGATGCAAGTTATGTACAGTGTTGATGGAACTTTCTGCCATTAAAAACAAGTGAAAGGATTTTCTTCTTCTTAAGGCCAGATGACATTCCACCCTGTGCATATGCACATTTTCTTTATCCATTTATCCGTCAGGGGACGTTTTGGTTGCGTCCATGTCCTGACAATGGTGAATAAAACTGTAATGAACATGGGAGTGCAGGTAACATGAGTCCAGGTTTCATTTCCTTTGGATAAACACCCAGAAGTGGAATTGCTGAACCATATGATGGTTCTAGCTTTATTTTTTTTAATCTTTATTAAATGTATTGGGGTGACATTGGTTACAAAATCATATAGATTTCAAGTGTACAATTCTGTAATACATCATCTGTATATCACATTGTGCGTTCACCACCCTGAGTCAGCTCTCCTTCCATCACCATGTATTTGACCCCTTTACCCTCATCTACCACCCCCTCCCCTGTTACCCTCTGGTAACCACTAAACTGTTGTCTGTCTGTGAGTTTTTGTTTGTTTGTCCTGTTCCTTTGTTGCTTTCAGTTGTACATCCCACATATGAGTGAAGTTATATGGTTTTTGACTTTTTCTGTCTAACTTATTGCTCTTAGCATGATAGTCTCAGGGCCGGCCAAGTGGCTCAGTTGGTTAAGAGCTCGCTCAAGAGTGCAAGCTCTGAGCAACAGCGGTTCGATTTCTGGCCCAAGGTGAGCTGTGGCTGAGCTGCCAACAGGTGGCAGGATGGCTCAGCTAAAAAAAAAGAAAATATTGCTGTAGCGTGATAGTCTCAAGATCCATCCATGTTGTTGCAAATGGCAGTATTTCCTCTTTTCTTATGGCTGAATAGTATTCCACTGGGCTGCAAAATGATACTCTAAGCAAATCTTTTTCATTTTTTGAGGAACTTCATGCTGTTTTCCAGAGCGGCTTCTTACTTTCCATTCCCACCAGCAGCCCACGAGGCCCCTCCCCCATGGCCTCACCGGCACGCGTCCCCTCACTCTGGTTGCTGATGGAGACGTGATGGCATAGGTTGCAGTAGAGGTTTCATGGCTGTTCTCTATCTTCAAACTCATTACGTTGTATGCATTAAACATGCACCATTTTTTTATGTCAATGATACCTCAACAAAGTTGTTTAAAATGTAACAAAAGGACAAATCAAGCTCCACATTCAAACATAAAGACAACACATATTTGTTTTCATTGATAAGGATAGTTTTGTTTGTTTGTTTGAATTAGCTTTTTATTTTGGAATAATTTTAGATTTACAGGAAAGTTCCACGTATGGCAGGAGCGTTCCTGTGTCCCTGGCCCCCAGGTTCCCAAATGTCAGCCCTTCCGTGGCTGGTATGTTTGTTAAAATGAAAGAGCTGACACCGGCACAGCACTGTTAAGCTCACCCAGCCTGGAGGATCTACCCAGTTCCCTCACTGAGAGTTTGTCTTTCCCCACGTCACACTGACACACCACTGCTGTGGTTTCCTCACGTGAGGAGTTCCCTAAATATTTGCATAAATGATCATTGAATGCTCCTCAGGACAAATGTAATAATGTTTGCTAACATTGGTTGCTAAATGTAAGATTATATGGTTCCATCTCACAGAGTAACAGTAGGAAAGAACTAGAAATTTAAAGATATGAAAACAGGGCCGGCCGAGTGGCACGTTGGTTAGGAGTTAGATTGGGACGCCAGCTCTGAGCAGCAGGGCCCCGGTTTGGATCCCACATGAGGGCCAGTGACACTGCTCCCTCTGCAGCTAAGATGCTGAACAACAGCTCAACCTGGAGCTGGGCTGCAGTGAGTCACTGGTGATGGTGTAGGCTGCAGTGGGGCTGCAGTGGGGCTGCAGTGGGTTGCCATGAGTGGCCATCCAATGGCCGGTGAGTGGCTACCTCAACTGGGAAGAGCACAACGATAATACCAACATGGGCCAGTGAAGCGACGGCCTTCACAACTAGACTGAGGAACAAAAGGACAGCAACTTGTCTGTTCCCCTCCCCCAATTCCCCAATAAAATCTTAAAAAACTAAATAAAGATATGAAAATAACCACAAATAACCCTGATGGCCTCAATTTGGGGTCCGGGAAGGATGATCGGTGACCCGAGAGAAGTGGCCTCGGTCATCAGTACTCATCAGGCTCCAGCAGGGGTGCATGGCCCGTCCTCTGCCCCCGCGTCCCACGTCCAGCTTGGCGCCGAGGCTGGAGTGTCCCCACCTCCTCACGGCTGCGGCCAGATCACTGCCCTGAGGGCTCAGCTCTCTTGTTCCTCGTTCAGGGTCTCTGTGGTTTCTTCCACGTACAAAATTCTAAATTATGAGAAACGCTTTCAGTATTTTATCAAAGTCCATACCTGTGTGAGCAAACTACAACTTAATCCTTTGGGAGTTTTGACTTCATGAACAAAAATTCTAATTTGGGGGCAGGTGCAGGGGCAGTGGAGATCTCCACAGTCATGCAGTGGGCAATGTAATTTTATTAGTGCCAGGTTTTGCGTTTGTGTTTATTTTACAATCCCTCAGCCGACTTACTCGGCATCGCCGCTCACCCCAAACACCACATCGTACAGATAAATCGCCACCTCGGCTGTTCAGATCTGGCCACAGTCAGAACGCCCCTTGCACTCCTGTCAATATTGTGCTGAGAAATTCGAAATCTGTTCAGATCTCTGCTCTGGGGGAAAAGACTGACCGGCGAATTGAAATCCATAGGATGCTGTGTCCCCTCTCTGCCCCCCCTCAGTGGTGGCGGGTCCCCTGGACACAGGAGGCTGTACCCCCCACCTGCCCCTGGGCCCCGGTCAGCTCCGACATCTTCTAAATGGCAGCACGTTAGGATTGTGTGGGGTACACCGCCTCTTAGCAACCAGCGTTGGTCACTGTTCCCCAGGCCTTGGTTGCCCCTCCGTCCCCTTCCTCTCAGGGGGCAGTGACTGTCGCTCCTAAAACCGGAGCCACGTTCTCAATTCTTGTGTCAGGATGTTTAAATGGGTTTCTAAAAGGCCTGAAGATTCTGTGGCAAATGTTTAGGGAAAACTACAAGATAAAGTCCCTTTTTGAAGGACGGTTTCTGAGCTCCGTCAAGATGAGGGGAAGGGTGGAGTTGAGGGACAAGAAGAAAAAGGGAGGGAAGGCAGAGGGCACTGGGGTCACCTGTGAAGAGGAAGCTGCCTGGACTCCGGGTTCCCCGGGCTTCCCACACACGGGCCGGACTGGGGGCCGGGCTGGGGACATGTGGGTCCCCTCCTCCCTCAGGCAGATTTGCAGGTTGGGATCTGAGAAAGAACCTTGCAGTTACTCATGTCTTCAAACATCTTTAAAAGGTGTTAACAGTAATAAAATCAATTCTACAGAATCTTATAGCATTAACATATAAATTCTGTATGGCCATTGCCTACAAATATGCGAGAAATATTAAAAGCAATTTTAAGAATGTCAGTTAGGTAAGTATGTGCTATAATGTTTTAAAATTTTACCTGGAAATAAGTAATTTAACTGAAGATTTGTAGACTGAAGAAATATTAGACAATTGTGTATAACATAGAATTACCCTGTATCACCTCAGGCTCCATATTAAGTGTTCCACAGTAACATTGAAAGAAGCCAAGAATTACATCTTATAGTTTACAGTTTCTGCTAGGTTGGTTTTTTTTTTAAGATTTTTTATTGGGGAATTGGGGGGATGGGAACAGTGCTGGGGAATTGGGGAAGGGGAACAGACAAGTTGCTGTCGTTTTGTTCTTCAG